GTGCAACCTAACTTCAACATTACATTTAAACAGCACAGTGGCTTGATCCCCGATTTCTGAATTCACAGTCGATTAGCTATTGAGCCTTTGGCCCCAAAATGCCTTATTAGTATTACCCTGGGTGGATAATGCCAATAATCATTTTCTTGGAGCATTGTATCTCTGGATCGCAGGTGTGTACAATAGCAAGGTCGCGGTGGTAGCTGTGTAAAGTTTTTGGTAATAAAGGGTACGTTTAACAGAGAATTTAAATTTTGGAAATATACGTGTGTTACGGAATATAACAAATATAAAGTATGTATATGAAACAGCCGTAATGGTGCCACCATGGTGATATGTTAACTCCCTCGCCTGGTATGCAGGAGGTCATGAGTTCGATCCTGACCCTGTGATGCATGTATATTTGGAGTTTGCATATTCTCCCCATAGTCGCGTGGATTTTTATCCGGGTCCTCCACTTTCCCCCCGCCACATTTAGATTCAACGTGCGTTTAGAGTATTTGGCTGCTATACATTTCCACGCGATAAGCCACTTTGTTGCGCTATCGTTTGTGATAGCCAAGTCGCCTCTGAAAAAATGTCGTATAGCTCAGTGGGCCTTACTTGGTAAAATAGCAAGCAAAAAGATAATGTACGTATCTTCCTGGTTCTTTCGGTAAAGTCACGTAGAATGGAAATAAAATAACAAATATAAAACATAATAAAATAAAATTATCACGACGAGCTTTCTGCAAATGGTGGATACTCGTAGCATTTGCTCCCCCAGTTGGGACGACCGACTGACCAACCCCCCCCTTTGGCCTTCGAGCTAATCGTAAAAAGTGGCTCCAAGCCTCTCGGCGGCATCTGCCAAACCGGTGCCTCCCCCCCCTCTCCTCCTCCGGCTTCTCAGCCAAAGCGGTGGCGAGGCAGAGCTCGCCTGGATCCTAACACCGCGATGAACCGATTTTATTGAGCAGAGCGAACGTGCAATTCCCCCCTTGGGTTTGGGGGGGGGGTGGTGAATGCCCCCATGCTAACAATGGGTGGGCTGGCTGGCGGGCGGGCATCGTCGGAATGCTCATTCTGATTTAAGGCGACGACGCCCTGCTCTCACCCGCCCTGCTCACTGTTCTGGTGAGGGGGGGCGCCCGGTTGTGAATGAAGCGTAACGAATGGCAACATGCCATGGCACAGAGAGAGGCGGTTTCGGCCCCCCAGGGCATAGGCGCTCCGACTTCTTTAAAGTGACATTGGGGAAACTTTGTGACGACGGGTTACCTTTTACAGTAACGCGAATAACACAAGATGGTCATTGAATGTCGTATGTATGAATGTATGTTGAACTTCTTTCACGCCACACGTAGCCAACCGTGCTACACACAAAGCAGTTCTAAACAAAATAGTTTTCGATCTAGATTTAAAAGTGCAGAGCTCCAGTTGCTCCCTAATACTGGAAGGAAGAGCGTTTCACAGACGGTCACAGACGGCCGCAGAAACGCATCTGAAAGCGCGCGATGCGGTGACCGCCTCTGTCATTGTGGGGAACGAGAACTGCCTCCTTCCCATATTTGTCGCTGCACGTAAAAAAATAAATGTTGCAGCCCATCATCTGCACGGCCTTCTTGGAGTGCAAGTTGATTGAACAAAAATCTGTATTTTTTTTTATCGAACTGACAGTTGATCCTCGAATACAGTCATATGTATGCGCATGTATGTCGAATAATAATTACACTCATTTACAGCCCTTTGTCAATCCACTGCTGGATTGACACCATGTTGGTCCGTGTGGGTTTGTGAAGGGGGGGGGGGATGGGTGGGGCAAGCCTGGGGTTCCAGGACCGGTTCAGTGATCATCCTCTACTGATATTAGCTGTGACTGGGCATCAAACTCAGGTTACCAGGTTCATAATGCATCGGCCTTACCACTATACCACTGTTTCTTCTGTGTAAGTGTATATATATACACACACACATTTGGGGAGCGGTGGAGCAGTGGTTAGGGTGCTGTGCTATGAAGTCGGTGACCCGAGCCGCTCTCCTGCTCAAGACCAGTAAAACTGGTGGTGATTATCCCGAACCGGTTCTGGGCCTCTCCTAGGTCGACGCAGCCTTAAACGAGTGCCTTGTGTTGTTGTGTAAACATCAGTATTGGAGAGAAAGGATGGCCAGGTGTAGTACTGCCCACCCACCTCCTCATGTGCCATGTCGACATTTGTAGGTGCGATTGGCACTTGCCCCAAGAGTCTATTAAAGTCTACATGGGGGGTCATTTATAAACACTTACACCCCTTAAATTTTGTTTCCCTTCTACGTGACTTTACCGAAAGTACCAAGAATACTTACACCCCTTCTTTCTTGGCCCAGTAAATGCCTCAAAGGCCAGGATTTGTGCTTTTGGGGGTCGCTGACCATCTGCCCATGATAATTAAGCACCTTCATTATGGTGGGCAGGCCTGGGTGAAACTGGAGGCATTCCCTGTTCACCTTGGAATGCAACGTGGATGCCTTCTGATGCCTAAACTATTTAACATCTCTTTGGTTTTTTTCGGTAAAGTCACGTAGAAATAATAAATAATAAAATTACATAATAGCATTCGACGTTTCGATTGCAACGCAAGCAATCATCATGCGTTGCAATCGAAACGTCGTATGCTATTATGTAATTTTATTATTTCTTGTTTCTACGTGACTTTACCGAAAAAACCAAGGAGTAATTCCTGCAGTCACGAAAGCGCCAAATCAAGTTTTATTTAACATCTCTTTTTACGAAGTAGTTGTGGAACCCTTATGTGGCTGTACCAGTGGAATGGCCATCTGGAAGAGATGCAATGGGAGGCTGATCAATGTCAGGGTGCGGTCATGGGATGGTTCCTTATCGGTTAACCAGGAGTTTTGCTGGTAATTGCTGACGTCCTGATATTTGCTGCAAATTCTGAGAAGCATTTGGAGACTGCTGGAGAAGCTGGAGCTCACTAGAAAGAACCCCGCTTATTTACGCACAGCTGAAAACCCGATTTGAACCCAGGATCTTGGCGGTGCCAGCTCCGGGCTCTGACTTGCGATCAGGCCCTTGAGCAATCCAGCCACATTTCCCACATGCTGTAGTGTTAAAATGAAACCGTAAACCAAAAAAAACTGCTTTAAAGTATCACATGGACCTCGATTGTGTATCACAAGTTTCTTCAGCTCATGAGAACAAACCAAATTTTCCAGCCATTCTAAACACCGATGGATTAAGACCTCCTCTCGCACCTTGTATCGATGTATTTACGTTGAACATCTTTCGCACCGTACGTAGCCAACCCGTGCTAATCGGAGTTGCGGGAAAGACCTTGTCGGTCAAGGGGGTTTCTTTGCCTTACTTCACCACGGCGGTCGTGGGTTGAAGGCAGAGGTCGGGGTGGTGGACGGATAGCGCATGGCTGGTTCTGATATCGCTTGCTACTGATGTTAGCCTTGCCCAGAAATGAAATTTTGGTAGTCTGGTTCATTACTTCGCCGCCGCTCGACCCCTTCATTAATGACGAGAAGAAAGGCACTTTCAAGTGATTTCAGGCACACTGCAGTGACGGCGCTGTGGCCCGAAAGCTCTCCGCTTAAATTTTTTTCACTGCAGTGATATCCGGAACGTGGGTCATTCATGAAGATTCAAACTCGTGCCGGGCAGAACGGAACACACAGGACAGATATTTGCCTACGAGAGACGATGGTGCGCAGGCTCCATGAATAAGCAAATAGAGTCCATGAAACGTCATTAATACTGCCTTACGACAAACACGTAGAATCGGCCAATGTGTCGGGACGATCTCCCCCGTCTTCAGAGCACCGAGGGGGATTGAGCATGACTGACGTAGTTTGAGTTTGCATTCCAACTTGAAGGACCATAAAAAAAACCCGGAAGTGTTGAGAAGCTTCAAAGATGACCCTGTTTCTATGGAGTAGGTATTGAGTATCAGACAAAGGAAGTCAAGGGTTTGTCTGCCCTCAAAAAAATCTGCTCGCACGTCAATTGAAAACCGTTAATGTGTCAACTTTGTTAAACGTTCCCAGTTTTATGGAACAAAATAATGACCAAACGAATCGGTCTATTCCTGCCCTCTTTACGCTTTTGCAGAAGTGGCATTGCCTAAAACATCGACGTGCAATCCGATTGTCTGTTACAAGGCAGTGTCGATGAAAAGCATGATGATTATTACGAATTATTTTGGGTCGAATTTTCCTTTTGAGAAGCAGCATGGCAGCCAAAAGGGCATTGGAAAGGCCATCGAAGCATGAGATGTACATCTCTGCCAGTGTTTGTGATACGGACGCGCGGCACTCTGCAACCAGTGACTTGAAAGAGGAACTCAAACACAGCTGTGTAACGTACATCACCATTCTGTCATCAGCAGTTACCTTCATGGAAAAGTGTTAACAAACATTCCAGTCGCCACCTTCAGCGTGTTTTTTGGTGCCGCAGAGTAGCAGGCATCCGTCACTTAATCGCAGATAGACCAAGGGGTCGTTACATAAGCACACCTCAAGAAAGCTCGTATTTGTTACTGAATTAGGGTAAATTAATAATGAATGTATTTGGACAGAACCAATAATAGCCTCGGCTGTGACTCGGGACTCTTTTCAGGAACGTTTTGGCTGCATAAATTCGTGTTGCACTACATTCGTTGGTTATTTGTCAAAAATGTATATTTTGGCACGTGCGAGGAATCCACAAACTAAATCCACAAACTAAATCCACATGCGCCAGGAGGTTAATGCTCAAGCATCCGCGTAGATTGGTTCGCTGCCCAGTGGCCATACAGCCTTGCAGCGTTTTCCCTCTTTGCCAAAGCATAGTGGGAACGATGCACATGTGACAGTCGGGTGTCGATTGCGCAACGGCCGTACGATCTGTCGGGAAGGCCGGAAGCGACGACGAAGTGTGGCGGCGCTAACGGCGTTGGCCGTGATGACCTCCTGGCCTTGTCCCCCGTGACCTCCATCGAGACCGACGCTTCGCATGCCCCTGTTTGTGTGCGCAGCTGGACCCATACATGGACGAGACGTTTGTGCTGAACGCATTTGCCTCCCAGGGAGAGAGCGTGGTCACCGTGAAAATCATCAGGAACAAACACACTGGGTGAGCCTCCCGCCCGCGGGCTGCTGGGGAGGTGACTCGGCTCAGCGGTAGCGCGTTCGCCGCTTGTGGAGGCGTGCGGTTCGAGTCCGCCGGCCTCCCTGGTTATTGCTGCGGTTGTAGCCATAATGCTGCGCGCCATCCGCCTCGCAGTGGGTGTTAAAGATCACGCAATGTCATTCGCAAGAGCAGGCCATTGTGTGCCGATGGATGGGTCCACATTTTCAAAATGACCCGAAAATTACGCTTTTTGGATTATACATAGCATCCATTGGTGCCCCCTGCTGGTCGACTAATGCCCCCCAAGTGACTCTTGTAAATGAGACTATACTGGTCGCTTGAATTCTCAACTGATAAAAAACAATCAATCTGAAACTCATGCAGTGTCTGCTCTTTTTGCAAACTACACTCTTTTTCAGTGGATTCTGTTTCAGTTCCCGACCATGGATGAACGTCAGTCAAAAGTAGTGTCTTGGCTAATGCCGGCACCATTCTTTAATTCATTTGATCGATTTTTTTACAAATTGCTCGCCGTCCCCGCATCCTGCCGCCCAAAGGCTGAACCCCCCCCCCCCCCTTCTGAAGCCTCACCCAGCACAAAGCTCCGATAATGACATCACCAGCTCTGTGAAAGAGAGCTTTATAGTTAATCGGATTCCTCCAGTATAAATAAAGATTCTGATTCTGACCAAGCCCTGCCCGTCACCACCCAACTATTTTGCATTAACCGATTAGTCATGGCCGGGCGTAACGCTCATGCATCACGGTGAGAAGTTCCTCGATTTGGTTCCCGACTCGGGCGCCTTTCTGCATGGAGGTCATACGATCTACTGTTCTGAGTGAGTTTCCTCCGGGCAATCCAGTGTCATCCCATAGCTAATAAAAAAAATATATATTGTTACTGGTATTGGACAAAACATCCCAATTCCGCTGAAAAATTACCTGCACATTACTCAATTGGGGTTACACATAGCTATCGAACAAAGATGGTGACTGCATCGCGCGCATTCACATGCGCTTCTGTGGCCATCTGGAACGCCTTTTGTGTTTAGTTTATTGTCCTTCACCCGCACCTCCAATTAGCACTGTTGGTATTTGGTGCAGAAGAAGTTCAACATACATACATTGCAACTACTGTGAAAACCTAATGGAGTCCTTCCGAAGAAAGTCTTGAGACTTTCTTGAGTGAACAGGCATAGTAACAACAATACTAATTAAGATTTTAAAAAATCATGCGATTGAACCGCAACTGGGTAGAGTAATTGATTACTTCGATAATCGGATAGCTCTAACCTCAAAGGTGTCCTCGCCTGGTAGGAGGTCGTGGGTTTCGGTCCCGACCCTGACACCTATATATTTGGAGTTTGCACGTTTTTCCCATGGTCATGTATAGTTCCTCTGGGTCCTCCGGTTTTTCCCTTCACATTTAGAATCAACATGCGCTTTTAGAGTATTTGGCTGCTATAAATTTCGACGTGATAAGCCACTTTGTTGAGCCATCATTTGTGGCCAGGTCGCTTCTGAAAGAGAGCTACGTAGCTCCGTGGGGTCTTACCTGTTACAATAAATATAGTTCAGTTTATAGTCCACAGGCTCAAGCAAGGCGATCTGCGTCTCCGTGTGCTTTGTGTTCACAGCGGCCCGGCTGGGTACTGCTTTGTGGAGTTCTCGGACCAGTCGAGCGCGGAGCGGTGCCTGCACAGGCTCAATGGGAAGGCGCTTCCCGGATCCAACCCGGTCAGTGCGGGCGACGTGGCTACGGGCCCCAACGGCCCCATGCATAGCGGCCTCCCTGCAGCGCTCGACACAGCACGTGCCGCTCTGTGGGATGCGCTGTGGGGGAGGGCGAGGGTGGGAGGGGCCGTCCCATAGGGAGAGACTGGCCCCAGCCATAATAATGTGAAACTTTCACCGCTGGCTGAGGCCCACCACAGCCCAGTGTCTGTTTGGGGAGGGAAACGCTTTGACTTGACAGGCAAAATATGACTTCGATGTTTTGTATTAAGTTTAAGAGGGCAACAAATGACAATGAGGTAGATCTTAAGTTGCATACCGGGACGTGGGGTCGGAGTCTGCAGTGGTACAAAACGCAAAGTTACAAAGAGCCGTTTGTAGTTGCAAAGGACGATGTGTGGCGCCACGTAACATTTTCCTCCTTTGCGTTTCAGCAACGGAGGTTTAAACTCAACTACGCAACACACAACAAGCAACCCGATGGACGGTAAGGATCGCGAGCGCGCCTGCTGTACCACGATAACGCTCCCCTTCCCCCCCCCCCGCCCCCTCCCGTATTCACGCCAAGCCTCGCGGCTGTCGCAAGCCCGGCTGTGCCGCACGAGCCGATCTTTGGGTCGCCAGTGGAGAAAAATCCACAGCATTTCCTCGGTTAACGGTGACATTGGTTGACGTTTTTTTTAGTTAAAGTTTCGTCTCCCATAGGAACCGCCGTGGTTTCGACTCGCGTCAAAAATTTGATTCGCGGTATGTTTACGTGACGCACGCGGGCGCCAATTTCGGCCAATCCAAGCGCTCATGAGTGGGCTGAGCATGCCTAAGCCAATCAGCGATGGCCATTTATGAGCGTTTAGACCTCGACTGGCTTTTTTTTTACATGATGCTTTCTGTTTTGGCAGCGGAAACAGCTCTCTTGCAGACTCGGTGATTATTACTTTTTCAACTTATAAGTGACTTCGGTTAACAGTTAACAGTTATTTTAGTTAACAGTTTTCGTGTAACGGATTAAAAAACGTTAACCGAGGGACGACCGTGATGCTTTTGGACACCTGCTTCGTGTTGACGTAAGCTGCAAGAATACAAAGGCAGCATGTTGCTTGTTTCCCCATCAAGAGAGGCCGACCAATTAAACTGAAGATTGGGAACAACCTCTATTTTTCCTTACAAAAGAGACGCCTATTCTGGTTTCACCAGGGCTGTTTTACTGTTTTTTTAATGAAGGTTGAATGAACAGCGCTTTGTTCCTGTGGAGTATTGCAGGTTTTATCTTAATGGCCAGCAAGCTCCATTTGCTAACAGTGTCCTTGTGTCTAGGGTCGTCTTCAACCCAAGGCCACAGAGGAGTCAGAGGTGTGGATGATTCACGCACTCTCTCACTGCACATGCAAATCATGACACGCGTAGCGATGGATCTGACCCGCTGATTATAAAACACATTCTTACGCTCACAACGCATTCGTCAAATTGTACCGATGGTATTTTAATTCGTGGGCATTTTTTTACGCGACCGACTCTCGGGCCGCCTGCATCCCCGAGAGAGTCCATAAAAAAACGTTGGATCTTGAAACACAACGCGTTTTTGAACACGTGCGAAGGACGTGATATTACGTTTGGGGTGCTCTGTTGTTTTGTGGCATTTGGCCATGGTTAATGTTGGTCAGCTGGCTGGCATAGTTGGGAAAATTAAATCTCCCGGTTGTGGTGCTGCACACTTGGGAATCCAGCACTGTGCAGGCAAGGGTTGGTGGATCACATAGATCTATTTGTGATCTATTTTGAAACCCCACCGGGCTTCTGGGTGTCCAGGAGATCAAAAAAAAAGTTTTTTCTTCCTATCATTCATTTATTTATCCACCCTCTGTCCCACCCCCCCAGCCCGGAGTTTTCCATCTTTGTGGGTGACCTCTCCGCAGAGGTGGAGAACCACCACCTGTACAACTTCTTCCTGCAGAAATATCCGTCGTGCATGTCCGGCAAGGTGATCACCGACCTGTCGGGCATCTCGAGGTGAGCGCCCCACAGGGCACGCGGGTCTAACAGCGAAAACGCGTTGTGTGAAAAACGCGTGCAGCAAAGACTTACCCTAGTGGCTTTAGCCTTTGAGACTTGTTGTCGGCACGGGCAGCAAAGACTTACCCTAGTGGCTTTAGCCTTTGAGACTTGTTGTCGGCGTTTCCGTCACCTGCAACAAGGCCTGTATTATACAGATGTCTAATTGCATGGCCACATCTGCTTCCTTTGAGCTCATTGAAGCAAATGCATACTTTTCTTGTTAGTAGCTTCATCATAATCATCGTCATCGCCGTGTTATATGCACAATTGTGATCATGCATGCGGTTTTGCCTCAAAAGCGTGCAACGTTGTGTGTGCTGTGGCGTGGTGCGGCAGAGGATACGGGTTTGTGCGTTTTGGCGAAGAGACGGAGCAGAGAAGGGCGCTGGTGGAGATGCAAGGAGCGTCGGGGCTTGGCAATCGACCAATCAAGCTTAGCCTCGCTACGCCCAAGAGGTGATCCTGCATCATCCTCATCGTCATCTTGGCTACGGAAGATGCATGCCTTAGGGTTGTGCTCCAGATTTTCGGATTAAGCCAAAGCAATCTGGATATTTATTGGACCTCGGGATGAAATTTTGGACGATCCGAGAGATTTTTTGTTGTTGTTTCGGATTGGTCCCAAAATATGACATCACAGAAAGTGATGTCACTTACACTGTGTCACGTCCTTGAGTTTCCACCGAGAGTGGGGTCGCGTCACATTGGGCGACTTCACTTTCACATGCTTTATGTAATGTGAATCCTATGAAAATCCTCCCCAAAAATGTGAATGTTTTTCTGTAAAAAGCAGAAAATCTAAAAAAAAAATTAGCGGGAACTCATCCCAAGAATGTTTGACTATTCGTGCAGGCGCTTCCTCGCATCCATAAATGAAAATTATTACTTCTGGGCGCTCCATAAGCGTTATCCAAATATTACTCAGATTTCATTTTTGGGTTAGGCCACGTATTGATCGGGCACATTTTTTGTTGCAAAGCCCTCCACCACCCTTAAGCAGCCAACCAAATTTAAGTGCCACGTGTATCAAGCGATCAGTGCGCCAGTTAATGTTTCAGCTAGCCGGTAATTAAAAGAACCGAGCTATGATTCACTACCGCACACCACACATTATCTCTATGGCTGAATACTGCACTCTGTTAGCCTGCTGTTGCCCGTGGGCAATGTCCCCTGCTGTTGATGAACGCCGCGGAGATGTACAATGCCAGTTGGCTAAATCTATTCCAGTAGAGCAATGCCTCGGGGCAACTTCTTCTTCTGAAGTGCTCACAACTAAAATTATATTGGTATGCTTGTACATACATATGCGTGTATGTTCATATAGGGCGCCACGGTGGCGAGATGTTAACTACCTCGCGTGGTATACAGGAGGTCGTGTGTTCGATCCCAACCCTGACGCCTGCTGTATATTTGGAGTTTGCATTTTCTCCCCGTGGTCGCACGGATTTTTCTCCGGGTCCTCCGGTTTTTCCCTCCACATTTAGAGTCAACGTGCGTTTAGAGGGTTTGACCGCTATAAATTTCAACACGATAAGCCACTTCGTTGAGCTATCATTCGTGATTGAAGAGCTACGTAGCTCAGTGGACCTTACCTGGTGGAATAAAAATAGTTTAATGTATGTGAATGGTGTATATTTATAACCAGTTAAGAGCCCTCTGACAAAGGGCCGTGCGCAATGGCCCGTTGAGAAACCCTTTGCCTCATTTTTATTGGGAGACCTTGAGAGCGTTGCAGTACCCTCCCTGGCTGCGGTTACCGCTTGTTAAGTTTCACGATTCATTGTTTCAGGAGGGTCTTTCCAAGTTTTCGCAGTGGGTGGTCGGGGAGCAATGATCGCTGTGCAGATTCCGATCGTGTAATTTGCGGGTAATTTTTCACGTTTGACGAATTTTGACGATGGCGCCGGCACACAATGGCCTACTCTTACGGATGACATCAGGCGATCTATTACTTTGAGTTTTTTTTTTTATTGCAGCGCGACGCGAGCCCGGCACAATACGCCAATCGCAAACGGACGGGAACCACAAACACCTCGAACAGCAACTAGAATTTGGCGCGGCAGGACCTCGTGAAGGGAGGATATTAGACTCGCTACCCCACCCGATTGGTGACCACGTGCAGGGACGTGAAGATTTATATTGGGTGAGGGGAAAGGGCGAAGGGGAAATGTAATTCGCAAACTGGAGGAAGACAGGGGGAGGGGGACACCGGGGGATCTTTAACATCCAGTGTGAGGGTAGACAGTGCGTAGCAGGTTTAAGGTTGATATGCCCACAGTGATAACCGGGGCGGCCACTGGAATTCGATCCGCGAACGCAATTTGCCACTCGGCCACGTCACCGCCACTGAGTCGAATGGTCCACCCTTGTACATGTTGACCGCTGCTATTGTGGCCGTTTATATCTTCAGAGCTGATCTGGGAAACAGAAGTGTGAAGTTTGTGTACTCATTGTCTGTATGTTGGTTACATGTGTTCGCGCTATAAATAGGTTCTCTTTATCAATCCTGTCTCCGAGGGCACTGACTTAACAGTGATAACGTTCCACTCTGCGATTGTGTACATATATGCGTGCACATAATGTATGTTCATGTGTGTGTGTGTACACTTTATGTGGAGTGGTACTGCAGCGGTTAGCACGTTGCGCTTCAAACCTGGCTACCGAGTTTGGTTCACGCTCCCAGACAACACCAATGACGATCATCTGAACCAGTCTTGGGCTTCCCCTAGGTCGGCTGTGCCATGAATGAGTACCTGGTGTGGTGTGTAAACATTGCAATATGTGTTATATGTACACTGGGGCAAGTGATGTTAGTGAGTAGCACCTATGAAGGCCGGCACGGCATTCGAAGGGGTGGGTGGTCAGCAGCACACCCGGCCGCCTTTGTCTCCCAAGTGGCAATGTTTACACACTGCCCCAGTTACTCTATTGAGCCCAAGACGACCTAGGAGAGGCCCAGGACCGGTTTAGTTCATCGTCACTGGTGTTGGCCGTGAGCGGGAATCGAACTTGAGTGCCCTGGTTTGTAGCGCAGCACGAAAATATGTACGTATGTATGCCGGTGTATTTATGCGTGTCTGTGTGTGCGTCTGTTTGTGCCCACCCTGAACCCATGTGCTCTCAGTGCCAGCGGTGCTGGGAGGTCTCGGCAGGAGTACGGACAGAGCCAAGGCTACAGCTACGGGCAGTACTACCAGCCCTACCCCAACTACTACACACAGTGGGGATACGACCAGTACACAGGAAGCTACAGCTACAGCATGCCTCAGTATGGCTACACCCAGAGCTCCATGCAGGTGTGTATATGGGTGCTTGTGCGTGCGTGCATGTATGTGCTTGTGTGTAGCGGTAGCGTAGCGGTAAGCACGCTGCACTACGAACCTGGCGACGCGAGTTCGATTCCCGCTCACGGCAAAGACTGGCGACGATTATCTGAACCCGTCCTGGGCATCCCCAAGGTCGACTCAACCTCACGTGTGTACCTTGGTTGATGTGTATACATTGCCACGAGAGAGACAACGGTGACCGGGTGTGCTGCTGGCCACCCAAGCCCCTCTTTTGCAATGCCGGCCTTCTTAGGTACTCGCTAATAGCACTTGCCCCAACAGTCTGTTAAGGCTATATGGGGGATCTTTGTCTTTGTGTGCATGTGGCACAGGGGGGGCACCATTCAGTCGTTAGTGCACTGCAAGATGCACCCAACAACCAGAGTTTGATTCCTAGCCACGGCTAACATCAATGGAAATTAATCTGCACTCGGTCCAGGGCTTCCCATACATATGTCAACTCGGCCTTGAATGAGACTTTCTGCAGCGTATAAACATCAGCATTGGGGAGACGGGCAGCCGGAGTGAGAACGCGGTGTGCCAACCTTAGCAGGTGATCGAAATCTTTTTGCGTGGATGTGGAGAGTGGTGGCATATAGCAAATGGATAGGTTCGTTTAAAATGTATTCTTACGCGCACCATGCATACCTTTAATCATGAGCGCGAGATCCGATTCTTTGCAATTTATACAAAATACACCCAGTCGATGGACTTCGGTTACATCTTGGCTAATCGCACGTAAAAAAACGACAGAACACAAACCAAAATGAGAATCGTGACAACTCATATAATTGCCGGGGCTGGAGCGCATCGTTCACTGCCTAGCCGGCACACTGCCACTGTGAACCTCGCAACCTAGGTTCGATTCCCAGCCGCAGATAACAACACCACCGTTCAACTGGTTGTCTAGATTTGCTATCGGCCTTCGCTCGGTCAGCCTTCATGTGTGCCTGGCGCGGTGCCTGACAGTGCCGGCACTGGGCAGTCCATGAAGTTACTGAATGAGACACTGCCATCAGTGCAGTGCCAACTGCCACTGCGCAACATTCATACACATTCATAATGAAGGTTTTTAGGTTCTTTCGGTAAAGTCACGTAGAATGAGAATAAAATAATAAATTGATAAAATAAAATAACACAATAATATTCTCACGACGTTTCGGCCACAACACAAGCGGCCTTCATCAGGTGAAGGGACGAGACTGTCTGGTAGGACAGCGCTGGAGTGAAAGAGCCACGTTCAAGACAGTCTCGTCCCTTCACCTGATGAAGGCTGCTTGTGTTGTGGCCGAAACGTCGTGATAATATTATTGTGTTATTTTATCAATTTATTATTTTATTCTCATTCTACGTGACTTTACCGAAAGAACCAAAGAAGATGAATCATTGCAGTCACGAAAGCTTTAAATCGAAATTTAAGGTTTTTAGGGTTAGATCGTGTAAGTATGAGTGTGTCGTTAACCCGCCACCACCCGACACAGCCAATCAGGCAGGTTTGTCATGTTAACAAAATGTGCCAATTGCTTTCTACGTCAGCCCACACGGTGTGTTGGGGCGTAAACCCACACCATTTACAATTTTGAGTACGACGTTTCTCTGGTCATTACAGCCAGCATCATCAGGCGAATTTTTTCCAGAATTGCGAAGGGATCTACCTGCTTCCGGTCTTAAATAGAGCAAGATGTGCGTCATCACTGTGAGCCGGATGTTTTCAGCTTATCATTAACACGTTTCGCTAGTAGTTTCACGAATGGTCTTATCATGAGAAAGTCGTCTCGTCTCTTTTGAGAACACGTTGACCTAATGGGTTGTTCCCTTTCAATTGGGTTTTTTTTTATATATATATAAAGTATAATGAAGCACACGGTTCAGACCACATACGCCGCATACGTTGGTCACGTCAACTTTGTGACCGGCAAACTGTGGAAGGCGTATGCATGACATGTTTTTTACCATAAATTACCGTAACATTGACGGAGGGCTTTTGTGATCGCTCAACACTCCAAAGCTTCACCCTACCCGCATTGACCGGCGTGGTGAAGTATAGTCGTATAACCCGAGAGGTTCCGTCGTCCAGCAGTGGATGTACAAAATGGGCTGTACGTGTATAATACGGCTCAAAGCTGATCACAGCTCCTATCGGTGTGGAAGGATGTCGAGTAAATCATTGAGTGTGAGCGCACGGTCAAGGAAGGTGAGCTCGAAGTAAAAAGTTTCTGTTAAATAATGCTGATACCTGTTTCAACCAATTTATGCATTCATAGATTAGTTCCTGTGAGTTCCCCCCCTCCAGTTTCATCGGCATCGCGTCATGAGCTAAAGAATATATTTCTAAATCTCACGCAGCAGTGAATGACCGCATTTTGGAGAACTGCCTGCAGAAGGAGATATCAAACAACTACTTCTGAGATCTTTAAAAATTACCTCTTAACTGCACGAAATGGGCACTGCACTTTCCCACCCACCCACTCTGTGACAGACGCAAATGTGTGTTGCTTGTCCATCAAAACAAATTAAGCGAAAAATGAAATTTAATGGAATAGTTTTTTTTTATTCATGCAGTCAATGTGGCCGCTGCATTGGCGAGATGTTAACTCTCTCGCCTGGTGTGCAGGAGGGCGTGGGTTCGATCGCAACCCTGATGCCTATATATTTGGAGTTTGTATGTGTCCTCTCCCCGTGGTTGCATTTAGAAACATGCGTTTATAGCATTTGGCTGCTGTACATTTACACATGGTAAGCCACTTAGTTCAGCAATCATTTGTGTCCAGGTCGCTTCTGCAAAAAGAGATATATAGCACAGTGGGGCCTTACCTGGTAAAACAAAAAATGTCGTTTAGTTTTTTTGGTGACCGTGCTGATACCGTAGGCTCACTCCACGTGAGAATCCACCTTAATCACAGGCGGCTTCCCACGAGTCAAACCCCTAGGCCCTTGGCGGTGCTGGCTCAGTGCTGTGACCTCAAAACCACCACCAAGGGATCTTCTTACTCTTGGATTTTTCCATCTTGGTGTTGCGGATGGTATTGTACCATGGGAGGTGATAAGCTACTCGCTGCTATGCCTGGAAAATTTAGCTTTTCATTCCAAGGATAATTCAAAAACCGTTAAGCCAGGGTTCGGCAACCAACGTAACATGAAGAGCCTTTTTTTTCTCTCGAATTCCGTTATATAAAAAAGAGATTTCAAGAGCCGCAATGCATGTCCTTAATAAATAACGTCAGGAAGAAGTTCTTGGAGAGCCTCCATGCAGCTCTGGAGGTGCAGGTTGCCGACCCCTGCCCTAAACCACTTGATAACTTTCCACAAAGCCCCGACAAGATTGCCAATGAAAACCTTTCAAATGAGATTTTTTTTTTAATTCAAACATTATACATGCTACTACATAAAAGTGTTTTAACGATCAACTTTATTTTGTGTGACCAGTCGGTGAGAACTGAAGAGACCAAGATGAGTCTCATTTACCAGCGTGACCTGGGTTGCCAAAATGCCGAAACTAAAACGGATAAAGTACAGGAATTAAACAAATATTTATCGTGATGGGCGCATGTGCATCAGACCGATTTTTCGTAGCCGTTAACTTGCGCATCACGTAGGGGGTCCATTTGTGTTGAGCGTTCACGCGTTTCTGTGCGTGCATTTCTCTGTACGGTCGCCTCGAACTGAGCCGCTCCCTTGACGGAGTGGCTTGTCAGCTTGGACTATCTATACGTGATTGTCTGTTGATGGTATTTTTAATTGAATGCCTTATAAAGATCATACCAATGGTTGATGATGATTATAATTGGAGGTGTCATGATTCTGTGCCCCCCTTGTCGATCAGTGAATGGCCGCGGTTCGTTCAGGTTCATGGTACGATGCAAGATTCGATTATTCTGGTCACGTTTTTGGTGAATGCAGTGACCTCTGTTAGCCGGAGCGGTCACGCGCGCGAGAACCCCCTTACGCGCGACATGTCCAAATCAAACGTCAATGCGCACGCGCGCGCGCATACCCGAATCCGATTCTTGTGATCGTGAGCTCGGCAATCAATATCAATTGTATTGATTGACAATGACGACGACGACGATAACGATGTTTTTGTTTTTATTAATAACACTGTTCTTGTCTTGGGTTTTTTTGTTGTTGTTGTTGACAGTGTTATGAAGATCTGGGAGACGATGCCTTGGAAGGTTAGTTTGATGGCTTTGTAAATAAACCCTAGAAATCATTGCATGACATCGTGCGTGAACGTGCTTGTGTACCCGCGCGGTCTTTGTGAGTGTCGTGGCGGCAGTGCGGGTGTGCACAACGGGAGGGGGGGGGGGAGGTGTGGGTGGGGCGGATCGGGGCGGGGGGGGGGGGGGTTTGGGGGGGTGGGGTTGGGACATTTTACTTTTATTTTTCCATTTGTTTGTTCGTTGTGCAGACCGACACAAATAAAGCTCCAACACTGAAGCAGTGAAAATGAAAAAAGGGCGTCCGAATTTATTGCGAAGTCCTTGTGCTCATTACACCCGAGGTCCGCCGTCGTCCCGCCAGGTCGCTTTAGGGCAATCGTTGTGCTTGTGTTATATCTGCCGTCCAGCCCGCTCATCCGCACGGGGCCAGGCTGGTCGCTCGCGCTCTAAATGGTGACGCAGCTCAAAACAAATAGCTCCCGGACGTGCGGACTAGGGTTGCCGCGGGGTGGGGGCGCTGCGATACTGCGATCACTCTGGGGCCCACGGTAACCGCTTGGTGCGTTTGGGCGGAATTTCGTCATAACGGCTGCTTAGGTTTTCACTTGTTAGCGATGTACAGGCGTCCGATGTGTTTTCGGGTCGCGCTGCGCGTTGTTTGGCACAATGTCCGACGTTTTGCTCGACGGGCTGCTTCTGGAACGGAATTTCTGTTTGGTTCGGGCGAGATGAATCTCGCGCCGTTTCACTCGGTAGTCGTCGGACATCGTTCGGAACAACACGCGGCACAACCTGTGATCACATCGGGGCTGTCATCGTATCATGTTTGTCGTTGCTAATTTAATTTTATATGTTTATTTTCACTATCAAATAGTTATGAGTTACCCAAGTGCATGGGTTAAACCCATGCAAATCGTGCTTTTCACAAAAATATCCAGAATAATTTTAGGCATGGCGGTTATGTGACTTCATGATTTTCATAGTGACTTGAACTAGTGTCTTGTGTAGCTGACCGCATGTGCACCGTATGCATTATGGGTAGTTACGATTAGGTAGACTCGTATTGAATGCACTGCATTTGGAATTGCGGTAAAGCACGAAGAAAACAAAATAAACACTTTGAAAGTTTTGGAAAAGACGTTGCGATAATCTTCGTAGCGTGAAACTAGTACCCTACTGTGACGACGATACCGCCGCAGCCCTAGCACCTCGGCCTGGCGTTTCGACGCGGGTTTGAGGCTCCGCCAGCGAGCAAAAAAAAAAGACTTAAAATCGACTTTCAGGTGTGCGGCCGAAACGCTCTGGCGACGTTACTGCAGTGCAACGGGTGTACTCTGTAGCGATGTCCCTGAAGTGGCATGCCGGAATGCCGCTTAAAGTAATCATCGCTTAACGAACGAAGGATTTCGGGCTGTTGTGTGTCGGACCTCGGACCACCCAAGCCACACAGCCTGGCTTTGTGTCTTACAGAAAGTTGAGGGCGTTTTCTGCTCTTCGGGCTGCGTCTCTCTAAAGCGAGAAGCAGCGTGCGGTGCGGTGCGGCGTAGCTCACGGCCTCACGGAGCGCAGGGTCCCCACGTGGCTGGGCGCAACAAACGCTGCAGCGTCGAGAGGGGCATGACGATGCGTGGGGCTCCTTGGCTGTGCCGCGAACGTTGCTTCACCGTCGCCCTTTACCAAACGAGTATATCGTGGCCGGGGGGTTGGCGCTCCTCTGAATTGCTTGGCGCCGAGCCACAGAGGTGGAAACCAGTCGGTGTCCATAGCCACGTGCGTTGTTGACCTTTCACAAAGTGGCACCGGCTCACAAAGCACGATGGGCCGATCCCCATCCGCGTTTTTTTGATTGTGCCCTTCCGACCGAGTTCGCAATCAGCCGGGGCCTCTTGGCCCGCGTGTCGGCGCTGGAGAACGTTGCGCGCGAAGTGCGCTGCACTGTTTGGTCGTACAATTTTAAAAATGTTCACCGACGTGGGGCGTTACAATAACGCGCGCTGTTGCGACTCGGCTGAGTGATTCATGCGTACTAACCGTATGCATCAAGTGCTGGCAAGTGATGGTGGCATGATGGAACGGGCAAAGCACTGTGCTCTTGAGCAGAGAGTGCAGTTACACGATGTGCACTCAAGTGGGAGAGCAGTGAATTTTCCACTTTTTTTCCATTAAATGTGTCATCACACAATCATGTACTTCCAAAACTAATGTAAAATTTTGTCGAGCTGCTCATATTCTGGTTGGTGGAAGTGTTTTTTTTTGTTTGCAGGAGAAGAGAAATACTTGATTCGCCGTTTTTTACATCTTTTGTTTTATTAACGGCTCCGTAAAAAAAAAAAATTTTGACAAGGCTATGGTCGTTCATTCCCTTCCCCTCCCCCGTTCCCTTTGCCATCTCCAACCTCCCCCCCCACCCCCAACCGCTCCTCCGTTGTTCTTCATCTCGTCACTCCGCATCGCACTATGCCCCCGACTCCCACAATCCCTTCCCCGCCTGCCCTCGTCTCTTCCGTCATTCCCGGTGGCCTGTCCCCCTCGCCCCCCCCCACACACCCTTGCTCCCACCCCCCCCCCCTTGCCCCCCCTGTTTGTGGACTCCCGGTTGCACGCCACCGTGGCTCAATGTGTGCAACCGAGCAGACCCCGAGCCCAAACTGGACGTCGACGAAGCCAACCTGGAGCTGATGGAGCAAAGCGAAGAGCTGTACCACGCCATCATGGCGTGCCACTGGCAGCCTCTCGACCCTCCGCCCACCTCGGAGCTCGCCGCCTGACAAAACACTCGCCCACCGGCACCGTCACCGTCACCGCCATCGTATCCACGTGTGCTCCGGTTGTTGCGCCACACGCCGGCAATAAATTGGGGAAAAAGGACTGTCGGGTATTTGCTGGTGAAATTGCGTTCAGGCTTGCGCCGCCACGCCACAACGGGAGTCGACTCTGAAGGTGGGGCCGTGTTTTGTCGGCTGTGCCAATGCGCGGGCGGTCGGAATGAGAGTGCGGCTATTGTCACTGGCGGCGGAGGTTGGGATTTGAACCGGTGAGCTTTTGACCCTATGGTGACCTCTCCGACCTCTCCGACCTCTCGGGCCACCCGACGCCGCGGGGGGAGACGGTTCGCCCAACACGCCATCGGTGCCGTACCCACAACGCTGCGGAAGCTGTTGGGTCACCGATGATGATTTTTTTTTAAAAACGAGTATAACGTGATGCAAAGGATACGGCTCAACGTGGCAAATTAACAATCGGCCTTGCCCCCTCCCACGCACGTTCACCTGCTCGCGGTGCTTGCGGAGCAGTGCTGAGTGATGTGAATCGTATGCACAGATTGAAGATAACTCGCTTTAGGGAGCGTAAGTGTTTAAACAAAAAAAAACCCAGCGCTGTATATTTGCTGTTATTTGTGCATCGCCTTATGTAGGTGGGGGAAGTGTTTAAATGTTCTCGCCGTGACTTTGGCAGTGAGAAACTGGCTGCGTCGTTATGCTCACGAGCTCTAACAAGGGCAAATTCAGATGATACAACTCCCGGCTTCTCGTGACACCGCAGTACAATGTTGGTGGCACGGTTGTCGTCGGGCATTCGACCCAAGGTCACGGACAGGGAACTCTGAACAGCATTGACTCCTGATCACGTGCGAACCCTGCCTGCCTGCCTGGCCCGCCGCTCTGAAGACCCTGGCCGGTTGCTTGTGCATCGTCACCGAACACACCCCGCTTGGCACGTGCACACGCACGGCTGCGTTTGCACGTGCTGTCCCATCTGCATGGGGCAACGCGTTGGGCGTTGTGGCTGTGCGCGAGTCGGGAGTGGCTCCGTGGGATTGCAGGGGTTCCTAGTGGAGTCGGTTTGGAGGACGCGATGAGGAATCTCTTTTTTTTTTGTAATCCCGAAAGCCATCTGGCGGGGGTGTTGATCGTCACTGAGAGTGACCTCGACAGAACTTGCGCGCCGGTGCACGTGGCCGGCTCTCTTATTTGCGTGACGTTTACCGTTCGTTACGGCAGCAGACGCCGTGGTGGTTCGGGTTCGTGTTTGCGGGAATATCGATTGCGTGGAGTGTTGTAAACGGGATTAAATTGAGTGTATATTTCTGGGTTCAAACGCAGGGCCCTCTTGATGTAGGGAGGACAAGCGGCAACACGTGATCTGAAGCCGAGAGGATATGGGTTCGCACCCAAGGCGAGGTCCAGTCTCGTCACGATTAGTGATCAGCTGTGTTGCCCAGACTGGCTTTTACATGCCTAAGAATTATGACATCTGCTACCAGTGTCCATGTGAAACACCATTTTATTTACAAAACGGAAGGAGTATTTTCCGAGTAAAGAAATTCCTTGTTTTGGATTCGGTCTGTGTGTTGGCGTGTGTGTGTGTGTGTGTTGGCGTGTGTGTGTGTGTGTTGGCGTGTGGGGAGCGGTGGCGTGTGTGGTGGCGTGTGTGTGTTGGCGTGTGTGTTGGCGTGTGTGTGTGTGTGTGGTGGCGTGTGTGTGTGTTGGCGTGTGGGGAGCGGTGGCGTGTGTGTGTGTTGGCGTGCGTGTGTGTGTTGGCGTGTGTGTTGGCGTGTGTGTGTGTGTGGTGGCGTGTGTGTGTGTTGGCGTGTGTGTGTGTTGGCGTGTGGGGAGTGGTGGCGTGTGTGTGTTGGCGTGTGTTTGTGTTGGCGTGTGGGGAGCGGTGGCGTATTTGGTTCGTGCACTGCGCTCCAACTTCAGCGACCCGAGTTCGACTCCCCCTCACAACTGTAACGATTATTTGAACCGGTCCTAGGCCTCCCCTAGGTCAACGCAGCCTCAAATAATTACCTGGCGTGGTGTGAAAAAACATCGCCAACTCGGGAGACAGGCTGCCAGGCATGGTGCTGGCCACCCCCTTTATGTGCCGTATCAGCCTTCACGGCTTCTCGCGAACAGCACTTCCACCAACAGTCTATATTTAGGCGATCTTTGTGTGATGTTAAAAAGAGCCTGATTTTACATGATAACACGTTCGAATTTGTGATAAAACTTGGACTTAATTAGCCTAGGACAAAGCATGCTTTTCCCATCGCATTTCCAGCTATAATTTTAAACTGACTTTGTTGCGTTGCAAAAGTTAGACCTTGTTCTATACTTATATATTTTTTATATGGAAATAGCTGGTAGTATATGCTTAACGTTTTACAATTTTGATTTAAAGCTTTCGTGACTGCAGTAATTCATATTCTTAGTTTTTTCGGTAAAGTCACGTTGAAGAGAAACAACAAAATAACAAAATATATATAAAACAATAAAAAATTCTCACGACGTTTCGACCATAACTCAAACGGTCATCATCAGGTGTGTCGGTTTGCATGACACACCTGATGATGACCGTTTGAGTTATGGTCGAAACGTCGTGAGAATTTTTTTATTGTTTTATATATATTTTGTTATTTTGTTGTTTCTCTTCAACGTGACTTTACCGAAAAAACTAAGAATATGTTTTACAATTTATTCAGCTTTTTACTCAATTTCAAATCAATTTTGCTAATAAATATCTTAGGAGCGACATGCACTGCCTCGGGACTGTTCTTGTCACGTTAGTAACGCACTTCGCGATCCCCTTCCCTGCTCTTCGTATTCTCTCCCGAGCAACATTTACCCAACGGTGTTCAGCTGCGTGCGTGTATCGGAACGAGCTCGCATTCCCGTCACCGTGTATTCGCGCCCGTCTGAACGCTGCCATCGTCGGTAGTTAAAGTTGGCGGCATTTAACCCGGAGAGACTTGGAGAGAGAAAGAGAGAGAGAGGGGTGTAGCCGCTGATGATGGATGCACGTTGTTGTTCTGTTGTGGGCCGTGATGGGGGGGATGAGCCGGACGTTGTGTATCGTTGCGCGCCTGTGACCCGGCGCTGTGCAGGTCGGCTTGGCGCAGGGTTCGACACCCGCAATAACAAGAAGAGGCATTCATTTTTTTTCAAATTCGGTGTGAAAAGAAACCTCAAATATTTCAAGAGCCGCAATGCAATGTGAATACGAGACCGGTTGTCCTTAATGAATAACGCACGCGGCCCCGAAGCTGCAGGTTTGTCGACCCCTGCCCAAGGTAGAACTGGATTTCTATGGTAACTGGACTTCCATGGTAACTGGACTTCCATGGTAACTGGACTTCTATGGTCAACTGGACTTCCATGGTAACTGGACTTCCATGGTAACTGGACTTCCATGGTAACTGGACTTCCATGGTAACTGGACTTCTATGGTCAACTGGACTTCCATGGTAACTGGACTTCCATGGTAACTGGACTTCCATGGTGACTGGACTTCTATGGTGACTGGATTTCTATGGTAACTGGACTTCCATGGTAACTGGACTTCCATGGTAACCGGACTTCCATGGTAACTGGACTTCCATGGTAACTGGACTTCTATGGTAACTGGATTTCTATGGTAACTGGACTTCCATGGTAACTGGACTTCCATGGTAACTGGACTTCCATGGTAACTGGACTTCCATGGTAACTGGATTTCTATGGTAACTGGACTTCCATGGTCAACTGGACGTCCATGGTAACTGGACTTTCATGGTAACTGGACTTTCATGGTAACTGGACTTTCATGGTCAACTGGACTTTCATGGTAACTGGACTTACATGGTAACTGGACTTTCATGGTAACTGGACTTTCATGGTAACTGGACTTTCATGGTAACTGGACTTCCATGATCAACTGGACTTCTATGGTAACTGGACTTCTAGGGTCAACTGGACTTCTATGGTAACTGGACGTCCATGGTAACTGGACTTCCATGGTCAACTGGACTTCCATGGTAACTGGACTTCCATGGTAACTGGACTTTAATGGTAAATGGACTTCCATGGTCAACTGGACTTCTATGGTAACTGGACTTCCATGGTAACTGGACTTCCATGGTAACTGGACTTCTATGGTAACTGGACTTCTATGGTCAACTGGACGTCCATGGTCAACTGGACTTCCATGGTAACTGGACTTCCATGGTAACTGGACTTCCATGGTAACTGGACTTCTATGGGCAACTGGACTTCTATGGTGACTGGACTTCTATGGTCAACTGGACTTCCATGGTGACTGGACTTCTATGGTCAACTGGACTTCTAGGGTAACTGGACTTCCATGGTAACTGGACTTCTATGGTCAACTGGACTTCTATGGTCAACTGGACTTCCATGGTAACTGGACTTCTATGGTAACTGGACTTCCACGGTAACTGGACTTCTATGGTAACTGGACTTCCATGGTAACTGGACTTCTATGGTAACTGCACTTTCATGGTAACTGGACTTCTATGGTAACTGGACTTCCATGGTAACTGGACTTCCATGGTAACTGGACTTCCATGGTAACTGGACTTTCATGGTAACTGGACTTCTATGGTAACTGGACTTCCATGGTAACTGGACTTCTATGGTCAACTGGACTTCCATGTTAACTGGACTTCTATGGTAACTGGACTTCCATGGTAACTGGACTTCCATGGTAACTGGACTTCTATGGTCAACTGGACTTCCATGGTGACTGGACTTCCATGGTAACTGGACTTCCATGG